CAACCGTTCATGCAATTAACCTAATTCAAGTTTTGTGCAAAAACGCATGATCGCTCCGGCTCGCCTCGTGCGTTCCAGCCTAGCTTTTTCTCTTCACGCTTCTCGATCAGGTTCATTTTTGTGATATGGAATTCACCACACCTTGCAGCGCAGTTCATAGTCTGGAGACACCTACTAAATGAGGGGCCTACTGTATCAGTACTGCTCTTCTCAAGGCCGTGCAAAGCATATCCAGGCGTAACTGCGAAAAAATCTTAAAGCTGTAAACTTCATGCTGGTACGCTGAAACAACAGGAAGCTAAAATGTAACGCTTAACATGTGGTCGCGTCAAATAATGCCATGAGATTTCTAGACTAGTGTTTTGCCCAGCAATGTGCAGAGTGGTGCAGCGCGTTAATTCGTCTAGTGCTACAGGAATTGTAGAGCGATATAGGCTTCTTTGGTCCCAAACGTTTCCTCTCGCAGTATGCCAGAGTCCCAGGCGGTTAGGTGCAGATGTTTTATAGCATTTCAAAAGCCACCTGCTTCTTGCGCAAATTTTTTTATGATAAGCATTAGGGTCGATTTGCGAAAGCTTAAGTGAAGTGTGTTCTGTTCTAACGGCATCAGTTCTTCCCTTGACGCACATCCTTTGGTAAAGACTGCAGAACTCCTCGTTTCCAGAATTTACCACTGAGTCTGTCTAGTTGAGGAAAGTGCAATCAAGATTTTCAGAAAATTCAGAGTGACTTCTTTCAGGCCGATTCACAAGTTCCAATCGTTGCATTGTACAATTTATCGAAACGAATCAATTTGCATCAGTGGGCACGATGATCGCTGCTTTTTGGTTACCTTTAACGATCATGATTTTTCTTTATTCTCGAGTTTATTGCGAAACAAGGAAACGACAAAAAGACATGTCACTGTTGCAAGCCGGCCAGGTAACAAATTAGTGCTGAGGCTAATTATAGAAGATATCTCTTAACTGTTGTGCAAAATGTTTTTATAAAGATATGGTTTATGGAATCACAACAAAATCTGATGTTGCGATTCCATAATCCATAGTTTCTAACCCCAGGCTGGGACGCACCAGGCTCGCTGCTGTGATCGTGCATTTTTGCACTGAACTTCAACGAGTCAAGTCGCTAACTGTATGAATGACTGTTGCTTTAACACGTATCTTGTGCGATGATTAGCGCAAATCATCATAAATTTTACACTAAAAAATAATTTTTGTTTAACGGTCGTTCTTTAAAAGTGACGAAGCTGTTCAGTGAGCAATTTTCCCGCCGAAACTTTTATGTGCTCGCATGTGAGAAGCACTCATAACTGGAGGCTGAATTTGAAATCTTTACCTTACAAACTTTTATGCAGAGAATATCCCTGCAAAGTTTCAGTTCTCTATTTTATATGATTTCCGAGGTCACTTTACTGCCAGAATTCATATTTTTTTAATGCGTCCGCAGCGGGACAGAGACTTACGCGAATGTTAATATTAAAACAGAAGGTTCGCACATACGATGGGCATATAATCCCGAACTTTCAGCTTTCTAGCTTTTCTGGTTCCCGAGTTGAAAGTTGGTGATAAAAAGTGCATGCAGACACAACCACACACACACACACACACACACACACATACACACACACATACACACATAGCCTTTTGCCAATATGAGTTTTTGCATTTGCGTAATATGCAAAAACGCATCAAAACGATTCTGTGAAAGGCAGTAGCAATGTGGATAAAGATGCAATTTCGGTTTATTATGCGTTTTTGCTGTGCGGCGCTATAGCGCTGCTACAGCTGGCAAAAACGCATATTTTCGAGAGGTCGTCTGTGTGTGTTCAGAAGCGAGTGAATTTTGTCACCCGCGTTCATCTCAGCAACCAGGAAAGTTGGGAGGCTGAAATTTTGGGCGTATGTTCCTACCTAGTGTGTCACTCTCCCGTTTTAAGATCTTCCCCCACACACGCCTAGACTCCGCATACGGACTCCCGAAAAAAAATGCGAGTTTCTTTGGCAGGAAACGGTTTTGCGAACCAGGCAAGGTACAAAGCTGAAACTTTGCAGGGATATTCTCTACGCACGTGCAAGCTAAAAGTTTCAAATTCAGCTGTCGCGCATGCTTTTACAGTGCGTACGATCACGTCAAAGTTGCAACTTGGTACTATGCTAACTCGAAAACTTGCTGGAAAACAGTGGTTGAAATTTTGTCAGCGTGTTTCACTTCCATATGGAAAATCGTATACCTAAAATGAGTACCGATTTGCACTTTCACCATGACTTAGGGTACTTTTAAGATATCTGTAGCGAAGTGAATATTGCTCACCAGATAAGCTGAGAGGCTGAAAATTAGCTGGGTTTTTCTACTTCCAAGTGCGGTCTTAATTTTGCTTGGAGGTGAAATTCTTGCAGGTGGGCGTGAGAAATACTCAACTTTACTGGAAAATGAGAAACGAGTGCGTTTTGCAGCGAACGACCGCTCTCATCCGAATATGTAATGAACATTTAGTTCGTTTGCGTGCTTGGACTTTTTGACAGACGACCGCTCTAGCAAAATTCCCACTTTCTAGTGAACTAGGAATCTGCATTTCTTCAAAAAATCTGCATTTTTTATGCGTTTTTGCATATATGTAAATTGCAAAAACGCATATTGGGAAGAGGGTGTGTGTGTG